CCAGGTGACATCGTAGGTAGGTGGGTGTTCGCTGCTGTCTTCCTCACCTGCAGTCGCTGCTGCTGCGTCGGGCTGCAGTGGTTGTTGTGTCTGTGGTTGGGCCTGTGGTTGCAGTTGTGGCTGTAGTGCTTGAGGGTCGCCGTTGTTGTTGTTGGCCGTGGGTTGCTCACTCTGTGGTGGTGGATGTTGTTGCGGGAGCTGCTGTTCGGGGTGCCCTGCCTCGGCTGCTTGTTGGTCGGTCTGTTGTGTGTGTGGTGGTGCCGGGCTGCCGCCTGTTGTTGTGCCATGGTCCCTCTGCTGTCGCTCCTCGTGTAGGCGCCGGGCTTCTGTGTCTTGCTTTGTGCCACCTGGCTGTGTCGATGTGTCTCCCGTGTTGGGAGGGTGGATGGTGGCGGCCGGTATGTCGAAGGTGGCGGCTGTGGCCGTGGCTGTGGCTATGGCAGAGGCTGTGGCTGTCGCTGCCGGTGGCGTGGCTTGCTGGGGAGGACCCTGTGGTTGTTGTGCGTGTGCCTCCTGCTGGAGCCTTTCCTGGTATTGCTGCTCGGCTGCCGTGTGTTGTTTGGTGCCTTGGGTTGGTCCACCCCCTTGGGTGGCGGCTGCGGCTCTGGCTGTGGTGGCTTGTGAGGTGTCTGACTGGCTGCCTGGTGTCGGTGGCTGCAAAGGCTCCTCTCCCCTCATCCATGCGTCAGCTTTTTGGAGGAGCTCCCGTATGTCTGTGGGAGGGGCTGGGGAGGTAGGTTGTTGGTACCAGTACCTCCAAAGGATCGGTTCGGCATCGATCCAGTAAACTCTCCCTCTCTCTCTGCATCTCTCCCGCTCTCTCAATCTTTCTCTTTGCAGAGATTGTCCTGCACTCCTGTAAGGCTCGCAGTGAATTCCAAAGGCTACCACTTGGGATCTGGTGACCGCTACGTGCACCGCCAACCAATCGGCTCATCGCGCGGTTTGCACAGGGTTTTAGAGTTGGAGGCGTTAAACCCAAAGCACGCATCACTAGGAGAAAGCATCAAGCATCGGAAATGACCGCAGGAATCGAGCTGCCCCAGACCGCCATGGAACCGAATTCATTGCTGTCGAGTCTTAGCAGGAAACCCAAACCCTGCGCCTGAGGACGAGGCAACTTCACTTTTTCCTTGATCATCTGCTCGTCTGAAGCATCCCGACACTTCGCTTTGGCGGTCCTCCGGAGAAAAGCTAATAGTAAGAGCTTAAGGGATCCGTCAGATTTGGGGCTCGAGATTCCAAGGTCTACGGCCTAGGGCTCCCTCTTTTGATGTGCGATGTCTGTCCAGGCGGAGTTCATGCGCCCATGCGCAAGTGTTTTTTGTGGTCCTGCAAACTTAGGCGACCGTGAGCTGCCCAAGGACTACGTCCAGGATTTCGGGTTGAGGCCTGGCGCCGAGATTAGTTGAATCGGGGACGGCCACTCACCACCAAGACTATGAGTACATCTTGGACAAGAAAACACGCAACATGCCACGTCTCGGCGATGCAGTGCAACCAGAATGCTTGCTTGTTCACCGGCCCTTCCGGAAGCTTGGCAAACCGCCGTGCGCGCACGCGGGCAATGTCCAGTCTGATGCCCCTGTATTAAGTCTAAATATTATCTACAACGTAACATGCACGCTGCACCCAAACCTACTCTAATTTCTAATCGGTGCAAACCGCGATACCAGAAACCTCGAGTCCCTCGGCCCTCGTCCTGCCTGGCCCGTAGGAGTGCCTCGAAGGCCCCGGTGGCGGACTCCAGAGAGGCCTCCACTGTGCCGGAAATCAAAGTCAAGCCCTGAAGTTCTATACAATACATGTCCAACGCCTGTGGTATGAATTGTGTAGCGAACTCGTCTTGATGGAAACTAGGGGTTGTAGAGGGCTTCGGGAAAGAAGGCTTTTCTGGGGACGAGCGTGTCACATCGGCCAGGCATGCGGCTATTGACCTTCTGGATGTTTTTCCATCCTACCCTGCAAGGACGAAGCCCGCATTGCAGGGGGCTTTGGTTGGAACATGTTTCGACTCGCACGCTCGCTGACGCAGGCACGGCTTCTGGGTCCATTGGAACATGTTTAGGGCTGAGGCTTTCTTTGCCGCTTCAGGGTTGTCCATTCGTGGTGCTAGACTCTCTGGATTCAGTGCGATCGTCGTCTCGACTCTCGACTTCAGAAACCCTGTGTGCCCCCCCCAACTGCATCATCGAACAAAGCCCGAGAAGTGCTCTCGACACTGACTTCCGAAAAGCAAAAGCCTCAAGGAGCATGACATACATGCAACCTGCAATTTTCGCCGTATTCTTGACGATGGTCCTTCATAGACCCTAGCTGCATATCATTGGCTATAAACACATCATCTTGTTTGGAAAGATGTAGTTCGCGAAGACGATAGGTCGTTGACTTAAGACGAGACCTTTGATGCTCGTGCCTCAGAGAAAGCCATGGCCACGGGAGCCTGCCAACAAGCTCGTGGGATCTTGTTGGAGCTACTGAAATTCGCTTGGGATTTCGGTTTCGATCTGCCCTTACAAAAGATTCCAGCTTGTTCCGATTGATGGTAGTTGGTTGGTCTACCAGTACCAAACATGGCGAGGCTCAGGTGTTCGCCAAAGACCTGACGCAACCGCTTTCCTCAGGTTCGGAGAGTTCAACTTTCCAGCCCTTGCCATTCAGCCCTCCGTGGGCTTAAGCTCCTCATTCCAAAGCTCTGGATGCCCGGCACGCTGATGCTAGTTTAGGCTGGGCGACAGTTTCTTCACCAAGAACTCTTGGTCTGATCACGGCTTGAGGGTGTATCAGGTGTCGGGCTAGAGGTTTAGGATTCCAGCCCTCGCCGACTCGACCTGCAACCGACCCCCTTCCAAAGGCCTGCTGCAAAAAATCCGGCAGCGGAAGGACTGTTAGGCCCAGCCCGACCCCACAGCTTGCACCCTACCAATAGTTCCGGAGCCTCCGAGACCACAGCTTCGGCGATCTCATAAACGCACCACCTCATCTTTCACGTACTGTGCGATGCTGTAGATAGCTTGCTAGCTAGATAGCTAGAAAACTAGATAACTAACTGGCGAGATAGATGGATAAAGCGATGGACGGATAGATAGATAGACAAATGAATGGATCCTTGGATGCATGATGTTCCACGGATGCACAGACCAACAGGCAGAACGACCGACAGACAGACAGACAGACAGACGGACAGACTTTTAGACGGGCAGGCATGCAGGCAAGCAGCCCGACGGACACACAGACAAACAAACCGTTTGTCTGACTGACTGCTTGTTTTGTTGATTGCTTGCTTACTGCCTTGATTGATTGGCTGATTGTTCGAAGGTCTGGAAACGGCAAAGGCCTGCACATCATCGACCACATTCACAAATATTCAAAACATAAATACACATCTATCTTATACAGAAAACATACACGCACACGCACACGCACACACAGAGACAAACACACACACACACACATACATGCCTACATACCTACATACCTAATGACATACCTACGTATGTATGTACGTACATTCGTACATTCGTTCATTCGTACATACATTTTTGTCATACATACATACATACATACAGTTAGGTGTGTCTATATATATATATGTGTGTGTGTGTGTGTATATGCATGCGCACATATGTAAGTACACCTACCTTTGCATATGTCTGTGTGTGCGTGTGCGCCTGCTTGTATGCCTGCTTGCCTGCCTGCCTACATGCCGGTTTGTATGCCCGTACGCATTTAGGTAGTGAGACACTTGGCACGCACATGCGTATGCCAAGCTTCACATGAAGTGCAGGTCATTGTGAACATACAATAGCATGACACACTACCCTGTATTGTCATAATCAGACAATCGGATGTGTAAATACAAGGCCCGCGGTTCCGAAGTTGCACATTGCGCTTTCTATTGCCCTTGCTGTTGTAGGGCTTTCAGGAAATTGGGCCACAAGGTTTCAAAACAAGCTGGGCTTAAGTAATCACGATGAAGAGCTTCTACAATTGACATGGGACTGGCTCTCATCGTCAGACCCTGAAGCGCAAAGGACTACTCTAGAAGCCTTGACCTGATGCCAGCCGCGGTTCAAGCGGGAGTAGACATCGGCTGTAGAGGTTTGAACCACAACCATACCTTAGGCTCCACGATATGTGTTGAAAGCAGGCCGTACACATGCATGAGCCACCTCTTGCAGTGTGACAAGTGCCGTCTTGACTTCGCACAAAGGACGCGTCTGCCTTCATATAAACAAAGAAATCATATGTGGCGGCCATTCAAACGGCGTCACATACAAAAAATCACGCTCCCGAGCTTTTGAAGGGACGGTCAAACACGTGCACCTGCTGTCTGAGCGAGAAGCTGCCACAGCTGAAAGCAAACTATGAACGTCCTAAATCCTACCTACATAAGCATTCCAAACCTAAATCTGATTTCTGCTGCATCCGTGTTGAGAAATCCTTACGGTCTGCGCCGACAGATGTCTTACTATACTACACTGTCAAGTCATATTAAACGGTATTCTACTGTCTTGAGCCTACACTGTAATCGCCAACATCTCACAGAGAGCTAGTCTCCGGCCCGGCTTGTACTCGTACCAAGAAACATATTCAAAAAGCGTCCACTTACACCATTGACTGGGGTGCGGTGTAGCCGACAGGGCCAGTTGGGACGCTGTGGTTCTAGTGCTTCGATGCTCACACTAGGACTGTCCAGGTCTTCGCCTAATACATGAATTTGCGGGTGCCAGCATGACTTCGACGTCTTTGCCTTTACTCTGCCAAGCCCTTCCGAACTGCAGACACTGACTCCCGGAGCCTTACTGAAAGTTTGTGCTTTGCGCTTGCTTCTCACAAATCATGCTGTCCCGCATGCTTAGAAAGGATTAAAAGGACTCTCCCGGCCTCGTTCCAGGACCACCACCCCTCAGCCTCGCTCCTCCGGAAAACTGTTTCTGATTATTTCTGCTGGTGGAGCTGGCAAGCTTGAGGAGCCTGCATTGTGGATCAACCACGCCTCAATGGGCAGCAATCGCACCACGGGCCGGTCGTGTGAGATTGACAATCCACTCGCTGGCCTCTTTCACCTCCTCCTCTGTTGGCCCCGGCTTTGGGGCATCCGGCTTTGCGATCGTGAGGATCCAGTGCCAGCTCTCTTCCTCCGCGGCCTTCGGCACCACTTGCTGGGGCATGGTCCTCACCACAGGACCGTTTTGGACTACAGATGGCCGTGGCTGGGTCTGGATCGTGGTTTGGGGGCCAGCTTGGACAATGGAAGGTTTTGTCTGGGGTTGGGCTGGAGCTGTGAAGGATGCATAACGGTAGATTTGGGGAGCAGCAGGGACCACCTGTCGCACGGAGATGGGGGTTGAGTTTGGGGTGGTCTGGCGGCTGAAGCCTTGAACGACATTGCCAGTGGCAGGCCACACTGTCCGAGGGCTGCTGTGCGCGATCGGACCAGGTTGAGTGCTGTAGGGCTGAAACTTCTGAGACCGAAGCAGGCTCTGGCTCTGTGCGATGTGGCCCAGAGGTGGGCTTCCAGCCAGGAGTGTCCGATGTGCTGCAGGACCTGTTTCGGAGAGAATGACTCTGCTAGGATAGCCTGGCTGGCTTGGTTGGACTCCGGCCGCCGCCATCAGCTGCGCGGGACTGTACATCGAAGCCATGTGCTCACCGTGCGAGGCCTAAGACGCTTTTGTCAAATGGGAAGTGCTGTGCCCGGGCTAGAGCCAACAGACAGACTGGAGCCGTAGCCATGCGAAAAGCATTGAATGTCTGATGCAATGCTTCGGCACGCAGAGCACACCATTGCAGCTTTGGCACCCAACCCCCGGCACACCTTGGTCGTCTGTAAATCCGACCGGTTACGGTGCGAGGGCTTTAAGCTCCGGAGTTGCCACTGTGAAAGAGTCGAATCTGTGTATATAGCGCTTTCTTGTTTTAGCAGGGACTGCAATGCACTGCAGCACTAAACACTGAATCTCTTCGGACTTCGAAGACCTCTGTTCTCAGGAACAAATCGGTCGGGCTGTTGTTTTCGGCAGTGCGTCAACTTTCGCTGGTCTTCACGAGACAGGTTGCACCGACGTAGTACGCCATGCCTAAGCCGATGACCTTCGTCTAAATTCTGGCTCGAGGACGACCCACCTCTATGTACGTCCCTTGCGCCACCTCTGAAGCTCGAGTGATACGGGGACCTTAACCCTTAGAATTGGGCTGGAGTTATGGGGTACGTTTACATATAAGCAGATATGGATGACAGGGGGGCCACTCATGGATGCGGTTCGTCACCCACACTTGTGGAGCTCCACGGCGCAAGTTAGCAATGGCACACGGCCCCAGTTTCCGTTCAGAGCCCAAGCTGAACTGAATTTGAAGCTTCGAAACGACTTCAGTTTGATGGCTCGTCGTCCACGAAGGATTCGTGGCCAAAACAAAGCCCCCGCACACAATTCTGCAAAGACGCTGCTCGGATGACGGAGCCGAAGGGGTCGGTGGCCAGCTGTGCGGACACTGTTGGGCCTCATCTTGGGAGGACTGGAGCCTGGAGCTTGGAGTTTCAGAGCTCAGTAGTCAAGGTCCCAGTTAGACGAACCACCAGCCCCAAATCGATGCTCACCACGGAGACGCCAAAAAAGGAGTTCTAGACTCAGAAAGCATCGTGATCGGCGAAATCCAAGTTGCACATCACCAGCATCAACAAAACAGACCATAAATATTACTGTACACGAACACAAAGAACCACCAGCACCAGCACTACCAGTACCGGCGTCGTCCTCAGTAAGCCTTTATCTGAAGCCGGACACAGCAAGCAAACCACTAAGAGGATCAAGAACGGCAGCAGCTGTAGCATCAGCAGCTATGAATTAGATGCAGCGGCGATCATGATAAGAACAACGAAAACCGTTAAAGCGAAGCACGATTTAGGGTGAACGCCTACCTTGACGAGACCAAGTTGGAAATACTCATGAAACCCAAAAGCAACCACACCCACAACAACCACCACAACAACAACAACAACAACAGCACCAGCAGCAACAGCTATACCAAGACCTAGACCAGCACCAGCACCAGCACCACCTCCACCGACAGCAACACCACCACCACCACCACCACCACCACCACCACCACCACCACCAACAACAACAACAACAACAAGAACAAGAAAATGCAGAAGAAGAGCAAGAACATCCACACTAACGACATGGAGAAGAACAGTAAACAACAAGAGGACTAATAATGACAATAGGAAGTCGTCTTCGGCGCAGCAGCAGCAGCAGCAGCAGCAACGCGACCCGTGACGACCTAACGGATCCAGTCTCAGCCGAGGCACCACAGTCCCCAGGCTCAGAACCGGGCTGGTACTGCGCAAAGGCACAGAACCACCTTGGGCAAAATTCAGGGTTGTGAAGCTTGAGGGCATGGGATTGGCCGATAACAGTTGGAGGCTGAGGGACTCTCGCCAAATCGGATTCCAGTGCGAGCAGAGAAGTCTCAAGAAATCCGCCAAGCTGAAATCCGCTGTTGGAACTGACATGAGTTTGCGTGGAAAGGGCAATCAATGTAGTGCGTAGTGGCCAGAAGCCATCCTGGGCCAGAAAAATTGTCCCCCCCCCCCCTGTTTGCTGCTGAGCCGCAGAACCACAGCCAAGGCCCAGTCTTTACCTTGGTGTCTATCGCAGCCCTACTCCAAGCCTCACCCCTCCAGCCCCCGACAATTGGCTCTGCATCTGTTTACCAACTATGTTGTTCAGGGAGAGACCTGTGGTGGTTAGTCATCAATGAACCTGCTAAACTGCAGCGCTTTGAGGATCTAGTGGTGTCTAAAGGCCTCCGAAATATCTCGAGCCTACGTGCTTGAGATCCTCAGCATCCCCTGAAGCTGTTCCCTCAACGAGAGAAAAGACGCATGCTTCCTCGCGTGCGAACCCACACGTGATTGCAGGGCCCGTACATCCAACGCGTGCCGGCACAACAGTCTGGCACCGCAGCTGCTCAGGATTTTTTTGTTGCAGCAACGCTGACGCTGCAGTTTTACCAGCGGTTGTATCCACAGAACGAACCGCCGTGTACAGGCAGGGCAAGTGAGAGACAGTGAAAATCTCGGAGTTTTGCCGCTCACATTGCTTCGCTCAACCGACTCAGCAGAACCTCTCGCTTTCTGTGGATGACTCCTCGCTGGAATCCGTCTCCTTGGCGCTTAGCGAAGGAAACTCTGGGCCTGCGTTTGGAGCTTCAGGGTTTAGACTTCAGAACCTCCAACCGAAGCATCATCGGCAGTAAACCTCCATCGAATATGTGCAATCACCGGCATCGGTCACGAAAGCTAGACTTCACCCAGTGGAACCTCGCACCCAGCAACGACGTCAGTGGCAACACTTCTCCATCGAAGTCCTCCCATCATCGGCATCATTGGCATTAGGCCTTCACTGAGTGCTTGCAGCAGGGACGTTTCAACCAGCACATCGGCATGAGTAGCAGCAGCTCTCGTGCTAGTCCGGCGGTCCTTCCAACCCCGCATCATCGGCATGAGCAGCCATGCCTCCATCGACTGCCTGCAGTGAAGCACCTTTCAAGCATCATTAGCTTTGATCGTAAAAGTTCTCATGGTCACCTCCAACCCAGCAACATCGGCATCATGCACGCGAGGCCTCCATCGTATGCAACAGCATCATGGCATCAGTTGGAATCTCTTCTCGGTCGAAAACCTTCAACCCAGCATCATCGTCGTTTTGGACGCCAGGCCTGCATCCAATGCCTGCAGCGAGCACCTTTCATCCAGCATCATCGGCATCAGTTCTCCATCGAAGTCCTCCCGGTGAACTTCCATCGAATGCCGACACCTCGAATTGCCCGCAAAAGGTGCCGAACAATTACTATCATTGGCAGTGGCAGGGCTTTTCTATGTCGTCACGCCGACATGTCTCATGCAGCATTGGCATTAGGCCTCGAATGCGCATCGTCAGCATCATTGGCACGTCCCCATCGACAATGTGGACAGTAGGCACCTTTTCTACCACCGTGATCGGCATCAAAGCCAGCAACACCTTCAACCTTGCATCATCAGCACCGTTGACGTCAGCACTGCATCGTACTTCTGCAGGAAGCACCTGTCAAGCAGCATCATTGGCATCAGTTGCAACAGTTGTCGTTCAGGTGCTCCTTGTCAAAACTTCCAGTCCAGCATCACTGGCGCGAGTCGTCCTCCGAACTTCACCAGTCGAGACTCGATACCAGCATCAACCGTTCTCCGTCGAATCCCGCTGTCTGGGATCTTGTGCCAATATAGAAATATGGCCGTCATGCTTTCCGGACAAAAGCGTGCAGCGTCCAAGCCCAATAACCCCTACCGAGACTCCTCGAATGACGACTAAGACTCTCACAACGCTATGACAGCGGGGGCCACCATTTGTGAGTATAGCGGCGGTGTCAGGAGCACTGGGGTCTGGAATGTCAATCTTTCTGATAGTTGTTCTGCAGGCATGCACGACTTTCTAGTCATCTACATGCCTCTACATACCCATCTGATTCTCAAGACGGAGGTTCAGCGTATCGCGAAGCTCCTCTTCGGCGGTGGCACTCCAGCAGCTCCTCACCTGTTCCGACCGGGGTTCGCGGCAAATGAGGCTCTCTGTTAGCTGCCAGTGAACACCCAGCTCATGGGAAGAGGCATACTAACGGGACGATCCCCCGAGTGCTTCGTGTCCATCCAGGATTATTGGAGGAGGATATGGAAGGTACCGCCTTTACACATTCGAAACTCCGAAGTCTTGTCGTCGGACCTCTATTGAACTCGAGTCGGCTTTGTGTCACAAGAGAGGACCGAACTCAGAACAGGCCGCGGGCGTGTTTCACAGTGAAAGTCCTAAGAAGATACGAGCCACACCTCTCCAAGTTCCATGAGCCAGGGACTATTCTCTACCGAGACATCCCAGCCTACACACCCCTAGCCTCTAAAACTGCTCAGCCCAGTTCTGGTAGTATTTTGCCATCGAGGTGCCGTTTAGAGCACAGGCCGAGACGTAGCCACGGAAGCCCCGAGCCAGGAAGAGCCGAAGAATGAGGTGGCCGCAGGGGAGCCTGGCTGTACCTCGGCTCCAGGGGGCTTCTTGCTTTGATCTGAGGGCTACCTTTCTGGGGATCTTTATAGGGACCTACACAAAAGGAGTACTATATGAGAGGGATATCAAAAGGCTGTAGGGTGCTACAGTATTGTTATCGCCACTTTCTTCCCTGCAGATACAGTTGAATAGCAAATTGGCGGTATCGGGTGAGGGCGGCTTGTCCCCATCTAAGGGGCAGGCTCTAGTAGGTGCGGTGACCAGCCAGACAAGCATAAGCCAAGAACAGCGACCATGTTCGTGTCCGATCATACTACAAGGCCTTAAAAACAAGAGGATAAGGGTTTTCCCTTGCGACTTCTGCCACAAAACTCACACGACAAACTTTTAAAACAAGTTACAGTGATACTAGACGGCACTTTTTGCTGGGGGTTGAGGGCTTGACTCCATGTCGGCCGGGTGGGTGTCGGGTAAGGTCACTACTTAGATTTGGCCATCACCAGATTCAAAGACTGTCCGCATCCCAAGTAGTTGTCAGCTGTCCGAACGGAGGAAAATGCAAACACGAAGTTCGCATCATCCAAACTTTGCCCGTGAATCCGATG